AATGCGACATTAGTTTTATAACATCATAATAATTTTATGTTATCACAAGATTTAAATTTTATAACGTATTATACAAGAACCATAAATCACATTAGCTAATAATTTTTGATCATGTTACATATAATTTTAATTTAATTAAAAATATTAATTAATAATATATTTATATATTTTTTACTATTTTTAATTTTACTTTAATTATTTATCAAATGAATAATCGATATTAAAATTAATTATAATAAAAATTAATATGTGATGAAAGAAAATTTATTTTATTTAATAAATTTTTTGATATATTCATATGAAAATTAAAAATATATAATATTTAAATGTTTGATAATTTATTAAGTTAACATATCGATCTTATTCTTTGTTTCAGCCTTGAAAAACTGTCCGTCCGACTCTTCGAATATCCCGACCCCTAACATTGGATTTTCAAAAGTAATATTGTTTATCATGATATCGCATTGTATTTTTGACCGTTAGTTGCTACGGTACAAATGTTGGCCATACAATGCATGCAATTTTTCAGGCCATGTCCGGATTTATAATGATGATGACCCAGCAAGGAAAACTGTTGTATATATCGGAAAATGCGGCGGAATATCTTGGACACTCTATGGTAAAGTAATTGCAAAGACACAACAATTATGGTAATCGATTATATTAAAAAATAATTTAAATAAATAAAAAAAATTATTTTTAGATATTTTACTATTTGTAATAAAAAATATTAAATTATAATCTAGTTTATCAAAGGAATTATATAAATTTAATTTGTTCTATATTGTAAAATGTATTTTAGGAGGATTTGCTTATCCACGGAGATAGTGTTTACGACGTAATAGACAAACAAGATCACATGGTTGTACAAAATCAATTATCTAGAAATAGTCCTATTCCAAGCGATAGAAGATTGTTTCTTTGCCGGATCAACGTATCCAGAAATTCACGGAGGCAACTTCGTTTTGGTGATCAAAAGGTATATATTTAATTAGAATAGTAAAATAGTTATTTATATTTAATAAAATTATTTCAATATTTTATGGTTTTGACCGATGTTGAATAAAAAATTTTTGGTCTATCTTCACTTATTTTTTGGTTTAACAATTATTCTAAATTTTTGTTTTTTTGCTGATATCCATTTCATATTGTTTTTGAATTTAGTTTTATCGCTATTTTTTTTATAGGTGGTTTTAGTTGAAGGCCATTTTTTACCTTTCGTTCCGGTTTGTAATCGAAATGAGTTTGTTTTCCTTGCTTCATGTACACCCGTTGTTTTGCCAGAAACGAGAGAAAGTATTGTGCAGGGCGCAACAAATATTTTCACCACCATTCATTCTATGGATATGAAATATCTTCATATCGATAAAACGTAATTTATTTTTTTATTTGAAAATTTCACCAAGTTTGGAATTAGAAAATTAAAATCTTATTTTATTTATAGGGCTGAAAGTCATTTGGAATATACCCGTAATGAATTAGTAAATATGTCATGGTATAATTTGTTACATTGGGATTCGATACGAACAGCATATTGCAAACATCAAACTGGTATGTTCATATATATTTAAAATAATTAAATTTATAAGTTTAATTGAAAATAATATAAATATTATTATATATAAATATAAATTATATATAAATATAAATTATATATAAATATAAATATTGTTCGTTTTGCCTTATTTAAACATAAAAAATGATAATAAGCATAAAAATAGGATTGAAATGAAATATTAATTTGAAAATTAAATGAAATTTTAATATTTAAAATATTTAAAAGCTTCGATATTACCTATGGTTTTAGTTATTCAATCTGATCAAGAACGGTCTGCAACTGCATTGTTGAGACTGCAAAATCGTTCCGGACGATGGTTCTGGGTACACTGTGTTTTACAAGTCAAAGATACTTCCGAAGAATGTCAACATCCTATCATTGTGTGTACGAATCAAGTTTTGAGGTGCGTTTCCATATCTATAATTTTCATTTTAAATATTTTTATTTTTTAATATTTACTTATATTATAATATTAAACTTTTTTATTTACATAAGAATTTTAAAAATCATTTAAAATCTAATTACTTATATAATTAGAATAATTAATTAATCTAATTAATTATTTTATGAATTAAATAGTATATGTTACAATTAAAAAAATAATAATTATAAATAATATAAAAATAATAAAATAATAAATCAATACATTACTTAATACATTATTTATACTATTTATATTATAAATAAATTACAGTGATAGAGAAGCGGAAGTAATGCGTTCAAGTTCCTGGCTGTACCAGTATTCATCTCAAACTAAATTTACTTACACCATCTGCTCCGGGAATCAAAACCGCGGTGTGCCATATGCTACTGGGAGCCAAAGTAATCAGCAACAAGATTACACTCGTTCCTTATCCCACGCACATAATAATGACACGCAACACTCTCCTGATATACGAAATTCTGAACAAGACTTGCACAATTCATCGAAACCACAATTAAAGGATTATGCAACAAGAAATCCACGAGAAGATGCAGAACCAGTTGATATGTCGATTAGCAGTAGCGAACATGAGAATAGAAATGTACATGTGAATGTACAACATAGCCATTATGCACTTGGTCAATTTACAGATAGATACAAAACCCATCATAAAAATTCATTAAATTTGAGCGGTTATCGTGCAAAATTTATTCAATGTCACAGTCAATATAATATGGATACATTATCGCCTAAGTATTATATCACAGACTTAGATAAAGAATATTGTTGTAACGATAGAAATAACAGTCATAAAAGACTTTCGGGTAAGACATTATCAACGTCCACAGCGACAGGATCGACAACTGATCCTTCTGAGTTATCTATGGAACATTGGAACTCAAGTCCAGTTTGGTCAGATACTCTGCAAAGGGTACCAGATGTTGTTCATCAAGAACTTAGTCCATATGTAGCTACACCAACTACACCGGTTGACACTCCGGATTCTGAACTACATGCAGAAACGCCAATTTTTAATTTTGATTGGGCGACAGAACAACATGTACCCAATTTGAAGATCACATTTCGTAGTTCGAATCAGGGGCTTAGGAAAGTTCAAGATGTTCAACCAATCACGTTACAGTTACCACGGAAAAAGAGCCAGTCAATGAATGATTCTAAAGACTTTCCTAAATAAGACTGTGCACTTATTTAATTGGTGCTCTACAGTTAGATAGACAAATATTTTTTTCTCTTTAAGTAGGTATATCTTTGTAAGTTTGAGAGTTCGAGTCTGTAAGTAGAATGAAAGTTTGTATAAAGCAGTTGAAGAATAAATTAAAAGAAGTTATGAAGAATTTAAAAAAAAAAATTCAATTTTTAATTGGTGACAGTTGATCTATCAAATATTTTTAATATAAAAATAATGAAAGATTTAAAGATTGACTGGTATTATAAAATTGACATTGATTTTTTAGATCAGTTTTTAATTAAAATAAAAATTGAAAGTTGGTGCAATAAAAATACATAGTTCCATAATTTTTATTAAAAAAATTATTTTTATTCGATTAAAAAACTATCAGTATTAAATAAAATTTTAACAGAGATAATCTAACAGAAATATAAAGTATTAATTAAAAATATAATTAAAAATAAGTGGTAAATATGAAATTTTTGCAATATGTGTAGTAAATATGGATTGCAAGAGTACAACAATAATTATTTTAACAATTAACTAATGTCTAAAGATTTGTAAGAAAAATTTGTAAAAAATTGAAATGTTGAAATATTGCTTTTTAGAAATTATTTTGTGTATGTAACATTTTTGAATGGACATTTCAATGTAGTAGCATTGTTAATATCTTGACAAAACATTTAATAATTGATAATGTTATTTACATAAGTTTTAGTTCAAGTAAAAAAAAAAAAATGTCCATTAATAAAGAATATTTTCAATGTTAATTGAAGTTAGTGAATCATAACCAATATTCTTTTCCACATCTTTGATATTAATATTATCTATATAATAAGTTTTTAATTGAAATAGAAAAAAATATATTTAAAAAAAGTTTATTATTCATGTTATGTTATTCATATATATATATATTATTAATTATTAATATTTGATCAAAGAATTTTTTTATATATTTTTTTTTATATAATTATCAGTTTTATATTATATTTTCAATTTATAATCCTATTATAATTTTTGTTCTCTAAAATTGATTTAATAATTTTATAATAGATTTTATAATAGAGATCTTATATTAAATCTATTGCAATTAATTTATATAAATATTTTCATGTTCGCATATTTGTGTACAAATTGATAGGGAGATTTTTAGTTTCTTTAATGCTCCAATAGATGGCGCTATAGTTGCTTTTAATTTCGATGTCTTCTCAAACGCATTCAAATATTTCAATTTAAAAATAGTATATTTGAATTATAACTGAAATATATATTTCATTATAATATATCATTTTTTTTATATAGTTTTTGCCATCTACATTAGATATATAACATTATATGAGTATAATTTATAGAAACGTATTTCATATTTTACATAAGTTCTATAAATTTTTTATTTATGTATATATCGTATACATATTAAATTAAACAACAAATTATAATTTTAAAAAAATATAATTAACTATTGATTATAAATAATTTTTTATTTAACAAATATTAAGCATTCTAATTAATATTAATCTCTGAACTATAGAGGGTGTAAAAGAGTAAGTCTTAATAAAGCATTATAAAATTCCCCTTCTTGAGGGATACTATGGATGAAAACGCCTATACGTAGAAACGTATGGCTTCTAAGTATAGTTAGTATTTTGTGCGTGAAGGTTAGGAGCAGTTAAGCAACCAAACGTGGGTTAGGTGAAAATAACAGCTCCTGTCACAATGTAGTGTATAATAATGTTGTTGTGATATTATAATAATAAACGTATATCTATATACGCATATATAACATCCGTGTGATCCACAACGGAATACATGGATGTTGCGAACGGACAAAAGCCCCTCAGTAAGTATAATTTAGAATTTATTTAATGAATGAATTTATTTAATTTATAAATAACTTTATTTTATTTTAAAACAAATAAAATATTTGAATGTTTTGAATAAAATTTATTGAAATTGTTTTTAAAAATTCGAACCAATATAATCTTCGAATGTCGAATAAAATTTTTCTATATATTTATTCGTATATCTATAAAAAATTAATTATATCTATAATGACATAACAACATGATTATGGAAATTAATTAAATTAGTTTAACTTTATTATTAAAACTTTTAGAAGTTTTTTATTAAAAGTTTTATGTATTTAATATCTATTTAATATTCCAAAGTTATACATATTAGAGATATTATCCAAAGATATTATATATTATATACTGTATATTATACAATCTAATAAATTTTTTATTATAGGTGGGCAATCTTCTGCCACTGGAAGTTCAGGAATGGATAAAGGAAAAGAGTGGCAGATGGAATTGCTTATGGAAAAATTACGTTCTAAAGCTTCTACATATAAATCCTTGGTGGAGACTGCCAAAAATCTACGAATGGCTATGTTGGTATGTAATTTGTAATATATTAATATATGTTTCAATAAATATTTATTTTTAAATTATTTTTAATAGGATAAAAGGTTTGCAATTGATAGTGCTGAAAAGAGTCAACTACAAAAATGTTTGGATACTTTGCAACATTCCATAAAAGTAACTTCTTTACAATCCATGGTGGAACGTTTAGAAAGTTTAACTAGACAATTGGGGTAAATATAAATTATTTACTTTAAGAAAAATAAAACAAAATTAGATAACTAATTTAATATTTGTATTATGATTGAATTACAGCTTAAAGTTTATGATGTCTGGTCCACCAGGTACAGAATTGTTTATTTCCTCGGATATGTTTTTTTTGGAGGTTCTTTTAGAACCAACAGGTGTAGTTAAAGATGTTAAAATTCATCATGAAGGAAAAAATGAACAGCAGGTATAAATTTTTAATTTTCACGAGAAAATCATTTTTTTAAATACATTTTATCATTATGTATTTTATTATATAAAATTAATATATTTTATTATATAATGATTCTTAATGAAATGTTTACAGAGCTGTGATGTATTGGTGTCTTGTTTATCGCGAGGAGATTTTCTTGATTTTACAGTACAATTAGAAGGTTTAGCTTCAATATATCAATTAAATGCTGATAAAAAGGTAAAATGTAAGGCATTTAGTGCCTTACAATCACTAGAGTCTGATTTGGGTATTTTAGCTCAATTGCAAACATTTATAAAAGAACCATTTAATCTCGTTCATAAAAGCCCAGTTGGTTAGTATAAATAGTATAATATTTGTTTTAAAATAAGAATTATTTTAAAAAAATATGAATGCATATGATAATGAAATGTTTTTTTATTTTAGGAATTCTTGAACGAAGAAGAGGAGGTCACGCGATGAAGTTAACATATTTTGTTTCTCCTTTTGATTTAATAGATCAGGAGAATCGTACCTGTGATGCATTGAGTTCAGAAATAGTTATCAAACGGAAGATCGGTCATTCCGTTACAGTTTGTATGGAAGGTTCGACTGCTCACAAGTTGCCTACTTCTAGTATCATAACTGTAAATAGAAGTCCTACAGGAAAAAGGTTTATAATTTTTTTTATAAAATATATATTCTATCTAATTTAATTAATAATAATTCAATAAACAATTCATACATTCTAGTACCCCGTCTTATGCTCCATTAACTGGTACAAATTCGTCGGTATTACCTGCTTGTTTTGTTTTAAAACTCGCTAAAAAAATGCCGATGTGCATGGAATTAGTACGTAGGATACAGAAAGTAACGGAATTGGAATGTGGAGATATATCTGCTCCCCATCCATTACTTAGTTTAATTATTCAGCATGCTAGCGAAGGACAACTGGATTGCCGCAATAATAGAGGACTTTATGTTGTATGTAAATTATTTTACATGATAATTAATTATTAATACTTTTTATTATTTCGAATCTTATCTTTTTGTTACAGACTTTACCGGATCAACAGCATTGTTATTTTATGACGGAGAATAAAAATATGGAGGGTGTGTTAGTTTGTAGCATTCCTTTCACTCATCCGGCGCACGTTCCACAAATCTTGGTATATTTGCGTCAGCAAGCGCTTTTTAATACTTTAATTGCTAGTTGCGTTAGACCTATGGCTCGACAAGATCCAGAACATGCAACTATATTTGAAGTAAACGCTTTATCGTGGCAACATATATCGGTAAGTTTGGAGCATCCTTTCGAAGAGACTATGGCAACGGCGGAGCTGGATTTGACGGATATTTCCGCATTGAAATGCAAGTTGTATGGCATAAGTATAACAAATACAGAACAGACGTCAGATTTAACTGGAAAAGTATTACAAAAGTGTTTAAGTATACCTTTGACAATGAGAATTCTTATGAAATCATGGGAGAGTCGTGACTCTTTAAGTACGATGAACAATTTAAATAGTGGAAATGGAAATTATAATGTAAATCTTGGTTCTGGCAAAGATCAGAATAGCCAAAATGGTTCTGGAATGCCTGATTTTACTAATGGAGAAACGAAAATCAAACAGGAACCAGGTTTGAATAATGGAAATGGAACAATGGGAAGGCAACAGTCATCGCAACAACAGCAACAGCAACAACAACCACAACAGCAGCCTTTTTTAGATGCCGGAACGGAGAATAGTATCGGTTTTCCGTCTTATTCCGGCCAATCCGATACCACGACTACTGCTATGTTAAATCCATTACAATTAGGAGCTCTGCTTGGACAGGCAAAAAGCTCTATGTCTAATTCAGTGAATGAGCGCACAAAAAAAACGCGTAAAAGAAAAACTGCGGATGGTATTTGGCGAAGTCCTAAAAGGAAGGGAGACGAGAGTACTGAAATATTATTGGAGAGTTCTAGTTCCGATTCGACACCTCTTGGTACACCAACCGGTGGCAGAGAAAATTTAAATGAGACCAGAACATCTACACCAACCTCAGCTACGAGTTTAACTAGTGGTTTGGATTTTTCTAATTTAGATCCAACCGATATTTTGGGAACAGATAAAAGTTCAGATTACGATATCGACAACGAGAGCGAAATAACAGAAGTTCATGATTTACAAGATGTTGAAGAATTAATTAAACGTGATCGCAAATCGAGGAAGAGAGAGGAGAAAAAGAGCCCAATTATATTTGAAGAAAACAAGAATCTGGTACCACCATCAGTAAGTATAACGCCAATTTCAAGCAGTAGTTTGGGTCAAACTACGAACTATAACTCTGTACTTACGGGGATGGGTTTGGAAAGGAGACCAGGCATTGAAATAATACCAATAGCACCACAGACTACTTTACCGAGCTCTATTACTATAACACCGATACCCGCACCGTCACAGTCGAAAAATTTGACGGATGAACGTAGAGAACGAAAAAGTTCAAAGGGAAAGTCGACAGAGGATAAGGGAAAATTGGAGAAAAGACGTAAACGTAAGAGAGAGGATAGTCCTATGGGACCACCGCCTGACAAAATACCATCTAAACAGGATCCTTTATCGAAACCAGTGTCGGTGAGCATTAAACCAACTGAATCGCCGCCAAATATGAGCTCAAGGCCATCATCACCTGCAACGACATTACGAAAATTTAGTCCGTCTCCGACGCATACCAGTCCACTCGCTCTCGTAGGTAAGTCCAGTCCTACATTGAAACAGTCAACAAACAAGCCAGTGCAAAGTCCAAAGCACTCTCCGGTCTATAGCAGTAGTCCCAAACATACGCCAGTACCTGCGAGTGTGAGCCCGAAGCATGGCACTTCGTCGCCGAAGCATGGAAGTTCGGCAAGCACTGGTAAACCGAGCATGTCTGCGTTGAAATCCGCAGCAAATTCACCTTCCAGTAAAACGGCCGATTCTGGACAATCAAAGATAAAATCTTCTTCTTCGTCGTCGAGCAAAGATTCCAATCGAGAGAAGGAGAGAAAGACGTCGTCTTTAGCCTTCGGTGGATCGAGCGGGCATCAAAGTCCGAAAACTAAGTCCTCTAGTGGTAAGTTAAAACAACTGGAATTAATTCCTAGCGGGGAAACGCAGTCCACAATGCCGAGTAGCGGTGGTAGCACACCGCCATCCGGTAATTCGGAACTTGGCAAGTCTGCAATCGCTCAACAACAGGCGAGAAACAGAAAGGGCTCGCTAAGCGCTGTGATCGATAAACTGAAAAATGCTCAGCATTGCACGGATGATGGTAGCAATGGTGGGGCAAAATCAACAACTGGAAGTGGTAATTCGAGTGGTCAGAAAGAGAGAAGTGTTGGAAGTTCCTCGAACAAGACCGCAGAGGGGAAATGTATCAATAAAAATTCATCTATGGATACTAAAAATCCTGCAGAATACATGGTAAAGCATAGTTCTGATGGGATGAAAATAACGATTAACAAAACTCGCACAAAAGATTCGAAATCTGGTACAAATCTCAAATTGTCTTCGTCCTCGGCGTCTGTCGCAACTGGAACATCTTCGAGTTCATCGACTTCGTCGACAAATATATCGGGTAATAGTTCGCCTAAAACGCACACCGGTTTGAAGCCAGGAGTAAGTTCTGGTCCAGCGTCAAAGAAACCTCCAACTCAGACATCTCCAAAATTATCTGGATCCTCTTCCTCTAGTTCTGGCAGTAGTGGTAACAAAACAACTCTCTTAGGACAAAAAATGTTATCTGCCTTGAAATCTATCTCAGGTTCAAATTCCGGAAGTGGCAACGGAACCGGAGGAATCAGTGTTGGTAGTAGCGGTAGTAGCGGATTGCTTTCCAAAAATGTCATGTCCTCCAAATCCTCTTCGAGTTCTCCGAAGACAACGAGTTCTGGCGTAACAGATCTCAGTCGAAATCGCGATAAATCTCGATTGTCGAAGTCCAGTGACAAAAGTATATTTCCTTCAAAGGGAATTGGGGATAGAAAATCGAGTCCATCAGGATTGCGAGAAGAAAGCGAAAGCGAAAGAGCGTTTAAACTATTGGCTGCTCACGCTTCCATGTCGAGTTTATCAAATTTACCTAATTTACCACCACAATTGGTTGTCGAAGGTCTTATGAAGCAATTGGATACTAAATTTCAAATACCCAAATTATCTGCTAGAGCTAATGCAGATTCTACCGACAAAAAATCAGAGAAGCTATCGATGCTTCCCGATAGTGGAAAAACATTGGACAATCTCGCGTCGAAGCAGACGTCAGAACAGGGAAAAATGCAAACGTTGTCGAATACGTCGAGTACAACTTCGAAATCATCGTCGGATGATCAATCGAGCCAGGGTAGAAGAGATCATGTACAAACGAAGCCTGACAATCTTTCCATGACAAGCGCAGCCTCGGTAATTAATCTTGGTACGGATAATACCAGTAATATTTTGCTTCCTGCTTTATCCAGTAGCAGCACGCACGATCTCGACATCCCTACGAATCTCTCGATGCAACCAACTGAGAACGAATCCCGCGAGAAGGAGTCGTCGTTGAATAGGAGTAACACGCAATTTCAGAGTAGCAGCTTAAATTCCACAGGCATTGGTAAAGATGATACTAGTGCCAGTGGTCCTGTAATGGCCGTTCTACCAAAAGGATCTGAAGCTCAGCCTACCAGTAAATCCGTGTACCCTACGATGATGACAACAGGCACCTTAACTAGCGGGAATGGAACGACGAGCACGAACACCGGTAACGGAGGCACGGAGAGTTTGAATTTGAGCATTAAACCAGTGGATGCCACGATGACAAAGTACAAATCTGACGAGAAGAAGCAACAACAACCGCAGCAACAACAACAATCTCAACCGCCTCAGCAACAACAACAACAATCTCAACAACAATCATCACAGTCTCAGCAACAGTCACAGCAGCAGCAATCGCAACCACAACAAGTTCCGTCTTCCGGAGGTTCTTCCTCTTCGTCCTCGTTGGGAACAACGGTGTCCTCGGAGAGTTCGTCAAGCGCAATGAAGGCGACAAGCACAGAGATACTGGCGTCGACGTCCCAAGAGGCCGCTGAGATGCTATTGGATTTTTCCACGCCGAAAGATGTGGCCAAGAGTTTGAATTTCACCAGCATACCCGAGAGAGCGATGACCCAGGCGGCCTCAGTACGCAGGAACACACCTCCACCTCCACCGCCCGCCTTCCCAGCGAGTCCATCCGTGAGTGTGCACATCGTGAAAAGTCCTGCACCCTCACCGAGGGTTATCCCGCCCTCGCCTCACTCCGCCTCGCCGTGCATCACCGACGACGAGCTGATGGACGAGGCGCTGGTGGGTATGGGCAAATGAAGGTTACTGAAACTCTAGATTTAAATTTTAGCCGCGACTGGGACAGGGTGTCCTGAAAGGCTGGCTGACTAGCTGCTGTTGAATTAGCCTGGCCTGCGCTCTGCTGTGCTCCACGTTTCTACGTTGTTTCTCGAACTTTTATCGTGGTGCACAGCCTGGAATTGTCCTCGAGTTCACTAAACATTGGGAGAAGGAATGATTTATGGGAAATTTAAAATTAAATAGTTTATGGTTTCATTGTAGTTTCTATGTAATTGGTTCGATCGATAAGGATTTTAAAAATAAGAATTTGATTGTTTTACAGGAAAAATGAAAAGAAGGAGTGATGATAGTGAGATTGCTAGTTTTTTGCTAAATTTTTTATTTTTGATATGGATTTGTACTTAAATATTTATGTGAATTTAAAGAATTGTTGTATTCAAAATTGTTGTAAAGTATGTAACATCATTTGATATTGATTATTAGTATTAATTTGACTGAAAATAATTATTTTAACGATATATCATTTTAATTTGAAGTTATATGAATCATTGTAATTAATCTATTTACGACAAAAGATTAGAAGTCTTCTTGACTCGTGAACAATTTAAATTGTTCTACGATAAATATATAAGAATACATATTTTCTTTGATGCACTATTTAAAAAATATCTTTGTAAATATATATAAATTCATATTATATGTCATAATATAAAGTATTTCAATTATGAACAATTGTATCTAAAACTAGCAATTTGTTATTGAAAATTTTCGAATTTTAGGAGAATTTGTATTTTGGAAACGTCTTGCAAGTTTTATGTATGTCGAACAATTCTTGAGGGGGACACCCTGTATGTTGTTGAGATTTTTCACTTCTCCTAAAATATCCTGCCGAATACAAGTGTGGTTTTTGCTCTCGTGATTTATGCAAATCTTCAATAAATTCAATTTTCTTATGCATACATAAGAACATACATTATTATATATTAAAGAGAAAGAAATCATACAAAAAAAAAAAAAAAAAAAAAAAAAA